TGACAGGAGCAGAGCAGACTATGAAATTGCAACATTATGTAACCCAGCACCAGTCACCATGGTGACAGACGTCAACAAATCATGTCATTGGTCAGATCAGAGGTTAGTGTTTGGAGCAGAAGAGAAGGAAGAAACTGAGTAAAAACAATCTATTTTCCTTCGGTAAACATAACAATCAAGTCCTACCGTTCTTGGTTGTTTTAGACTTCCGTGGTTTACTCTGGATCTTGCTTAATTTAATCTCTTCGATGAGGCGTGGGAAAACCTAGAAAAAAGATGATTATATTCGATTGGCTACGATTGTTATTGAGAAAGGTCAAATACACAGCACTACAAGCGGACTAGCCCCCTGCTGTAGTGCATTGCACAACTGTGTGTCGCCCAAGGGCTACAGAAATGGATATGGGCACCACCCTACGCTCTGCATAAGGGCACGGGGGATTCGCATGGTGTAGCCAGTAATTTCGTGTATGGACCTTCCACAGTGAAGCACTGTAGTAACACTACACCAGAAATAATTAACTGTACACTAGAATTAAATCTTTTGAATAATCAATTCTTCGGGAGATTTGATTCAAGGAAATAATTAAGATAATAAAATAGTATGATGTACAACTCGCCTCTGACACCGTAGTTGTCACAGATGGCAGCACAACTGGCAGTTCTGACAGCACACTTCGCTCGTCTGACAGCACAGTAGGTACACCTGACAGCACAGTTGGCACGTCTGACATCACAGTTGGCACGTCTGACAGCACAGTTGGTACGCCTGACAGCACAGTCGGCACTTCGGGTTCAGTCGATGGTTGAGCGATGCTCGTGTTCAGAATTGGCTCGGTTGAAGACGATTTGGCGTACTATGCGATCCATTTCAATAAATGAGAAGACAGAGCTTTTGACCACAAAAAGCTGTTTTATATTAAAGTAGAAAGGCAGATATTTTGTTGGGAGCAAATATAACGTGATATCTTAGTCTATACTCTTCAAAAATAGACGCTTCAATATCAAATTCCTCAATATTACGAGTTTCCAGGCAGCATTTAGTCAATAAAACACATACTTTGTCCTAACACTTATTCACGCCCCCCCCAGACATTTTTTTGCAGTGAGACAAAAATCCTAGAAACTCCCATACAATTCTTTTCAGTAACAAGTATTCGCAAAGACTTCCTGTATTGCTTTTCAACATTTTTTTCCCAAAAACCCCATGTAGTGTTTTTCAGTAAAACACCCTCTTACCAAATTTCAGATCATTAAGGAGTAATACCAAGTCTTCAGTTTAAATGTACAGATTTTGTCGAAAAATACTCCCCCTGAAATAGACACCAAACAATTCCAAAAGCCTGTATAAAAAATGGAAAAAAATCATACAAAATGTCACGTTATTTGGCCTTAGAAATAATGTAAAAAGGGGGAGAATAGCCCATGCTATGTACGGACTGAAATAAAAGAGTGCACTAATTCCTTAAAATATGAACCGTTTTCGCCGCCGTTTTTTGAGCTTTTTTTCCCTATTTCTTTCCTATATAACTTCCTGTGCCATACCTTTATCGGTCTGTGGTTAGGGAATTTGCCCACTGCTGTAGGAAAGCGGGCGCAAGCTAAACAATACCTCCAGTATACAGCACACGGAGGTGATTGAGTTATCCTATCTATCATTATTAACTGACCGTGTGGATTTCTGCAGTGTTTTTCGAAGTGATGAACATGAAAAATGACATTCCTGCACCAAACAAGGCTGCCACTGCAACAGCGATGGACATAACATGGAGAACACGGTAGAAAAAGGAACGGCAAAATGTCGTCTTGCAGATTTTGGCAAACCCACACGTTTTCCTCCTCGGTGTCATCTGTGCAAACAAGAAGTCACATTATACTATCATAGAACCCTTCATTGAACCGCGACAGGGGCCGACATCGTCTACCAGATACCTTTGACCCAGTGTTGACGTCACACTTCAAAGAAGCCACGTGACAAGCTTCACTGGGTCAGTCTACTGAGGAAGACCAGAGTGACTGGTCGAACGCTCTAGGTGAGAGAATTTTTTGTGTTGGACCAAAAGTTTTAACTTTAAACAAGAAGTCACATTCCATTTACAAAAATATCATAACAGCCCGTTTATACCTTATTGGGTTAGAATGCTAACCAATAACAAACAAACCACAACGATTTTACGCCAAAAAAGCAGCTACTCAAGCAACTGGATATGATTGCATGTTGGAAATTAAAAAAAAACACTTTTAATATCTGCTCTGGAGTTGTACATGGGGTTGGGGGGGGGGAAATGATACTATCCCATCATCCTTTGCATTACACATCCCACAACACGTATCCCAGATGGTTGACTGTCAGCACCAGGCATATAGTCTTGTCATGTTTCCTTTAAAAGTGCAGCAATGGCAACAATTTGACCAGTAATTTTTGGTTCTTTGAATCATCAAAGGACTCAAGTAGTGTATGAGGCTATCCGACTTTTGTAACTTATGTACAACTTCTTACATTGTGTCATAAACATTTATGCAAACATTTGCTTCAAAAATGGTGCTCAAACTTCACCAAACTAAAGTGCTTTTCTACAAAATCTGTTGATTGGTGATATTATACATCTTGTGCATCAGAAAACCCCAAATGCACCAAAAAGCACCCATGGGAAACAGAAGAAAATATTATATTTGATATGATTTATGTAATAATCATCAACAAATGCAATTTTCTTCCGTTTCCCATGGGTGCAGTTTGGTGAAGTTTGAGCACCATTTTTGAAGCAAATGTTTGCATAAATGGTTATGACACAATGTAAGAAGTTGTACATAAGTTACAAAAGTCGGATAGCCTCATACACTACTTGAGTCCTTTGATGATTCAAAGAACCAAAAATTACTGGTCAAATTGTTGCCATTGCTGCACTTTTAAAGGAAACATGACAAGACTATATGCCTGGTGCTGACAGTCAACCATCTGGGACACGTGTTGTGGAATGTGTATTGCAAAGGATGATGGGATAGTATCATTTCCCCCCCCCCCCCTGACATGGGGTTGGGGGTACTTGCGGCTGCATCAGCAATTGAGCTCCAAGAATTTGTCTGAGACTGCTGTATGGGCCTAACGCCTGGTAAAAACAACAACAGAATCCTTGTGGTAAGGCAATACATTTGGTCTTCCTCTACAGGTCCGCCCAACTGTGGAACTATCTTCCACAGGACACCCAGACAGCTTTATCCATAGCGTCATTCAAAACTAAAGTATGGCTCTCCCTTGGAGACCAGTTTTCTGTATAAGACAGCACATATTCTATTTTCACCAATCTTACGGTATGTAATTGTATTGTATGTAATTTGTATATAATAATGACCAAAATTTGTTGACACTATGTAATTAAGACGTTTTAAAGAATTTATGTCACTTGCATGTATTTAACCAAACTTTTTCCACAGGGCAAGCGGCCAAGCCCTTAATAATAGTTTCAAGCTAGTTGGGCTGCATTGGCTGTATTGTACCAGCCGAACCAATAAATAAATACATTTGGTCTTACAGTAAAGCAGTGCATAGAAACGTCAGCTAAACTGGTGAAATTGTATGTAAAATATGCCGTTATAATGGCATGGTGTATGCTATGGACCTGGTGTCGAGTAAAGAATCGCATGTAATGTTTTCGAGTGCTTAACGTTAATCTGTGTTTAACTATTGTTAATTTTTTTTAAATCCTAGCGTTTTATGATGTTCTGGTCATCTAGTTGGTATTTACTCACAATTAAGAAGGTGCATTATTTTACAGTCAGAAATGTACGAGTAATCATTCTCATGAATTTCTTACTTGAGCCAGCAAATGTTGAAGATTATAAACGATGAATTGCTTTAATTTAGAGAGTAGGAGATATCTCCAGATTCTGTAAACTCAAGCTCTTTTTTAATTTCAATCATAAATAATCATCAATCCACAAAAGTCGCCGTGATCAGATGTACAGTGGACATCGAAAATTTCGAGGTACGCGTCTCTAACTTTTAAAAAAGAGTCACTGATTAAGGAATATTCTACTATAACTCACCAGTGTTGCCAGTTTGCTGACCCAGCATGATAACAATAGACAGCTTTTCGTTCAGGAAAAAAGCAGTTTTCCGTACAAAACACGTCGTACCTCAGGCAGGGAGCTTGTTTACTGAACCACGATGTGCTTCCAAATTGCTTTAAAGCTTAAGGAACAAAATTAAAACGTATAAGATGAAAGAAAATTACATCAGTTACTGCTACAGCCTAGACAAATCAACTATAAATACGTTATTGTTTTGTTAACCGAAAGCCGAAAGCAAGTAAATGAAAACAGACTTCAATGGTTATAATTCTCTTGCTTTAAGCCCTAGTCACAACCCGCGGTACGTGCTTTTTGTCCGTACGTTTTCGGGGAGGCTACGTCTGCTAATTTTTTTCTGAAAACGAAAGAAAAGAAAAGAAAGGTGAAAGAGTGTGGTCTGCAAGCCACGTCTGGCCGTGAGCGGTTGCGCAAGTGGTGAGTTGTACGTGCTTACAACAAACGATCTCTGTGCGATTGCAACTTTACCGTAAGGAGGCCGTACTCACACTTGCTTCTTCCATATGGTACGTACGGGGCACGCGCGTCGCTCGTACTCGCACGCATGGGTGGTGAATCCGCAGACCGCACGTAGAAAAAGTTTTACATGCACTTTAAGTTCTACGGCGTGTCTGCGTGCTCCCAAATCCGTAGGATTCCGTACGGAGGCGGTACTCACCATGCACGGATGCCCTACGTTTGCCCACGTTTTTGCACATGCATCCAGTATTACAGGCCCTACATTATGAGCCGTTCCAAATCTCCATACACATCATTACACCGTCATTCTCTGTGAGCCTGTCCCCGTGTTTTATACACAAAGCTACCAGCGTTTTCCAAGGCCGCCAGTGAAGCGAAGCGTAAACACCTCAGCTAACAGGTGGCCTTTCATCTGGAGGTGAAAGGTAACCCGGAAACGGTGAAAGGTGATCTTCTTGTTTTCTGTCACGCAGACAAAGGACTGTTCACCTTCTAGGACTGTTCACCGACTTGACCAGTGGAGAACTTCAGACCCTCCTCCTCCAAACGAAGCTCTACAGAGCCCATGTGAGTCCCTACCTCATGGCACTCACTTGCCTAGAAGGAAATGGGCCGTCCTGAACAGAGCTAGGTGTGGAGTAGGTAGGACCAGAGACAATCTGCTAAAATGGGGACGGGTGAGCTCAGCTGACTGCCCATGTGGCCACCCTACCCAAAGCATGCAACACATCCTACAGGACTGCGAATTTGGACCATCTGTCACCAAACGAGACCTGTACGATGCAAACCAGGAAGCCCTGGACTGGCTGGAGCAGTGGGCCGACAAGCCATCATGATGACCTTCTAGGCCTCACGTAATGGAAAGTCCCGGGAGTGGCGCTGCAGCCCAACCTGAACAATGCAGAGCTTTTACAGGTACACGATTGAACTGACGTATCCTCACTGTTTTGTTCAAAGGCAAACCATTAGATTGGATTTTGGAAATGTCTAAGGGTAAGAATAAGAGTAAGAACATGGCCAGCTTGTCAAGCAAAGTACAGCAACTGGAATTGTGCCTCAAGAGTAAAGACGACCAAAAACTCGGGTATTGGCTGGCACTGAGAGAAGCTATCATTGCATCAGATCATTTCATGGAGATAGAAGTCTTGAAAAGCCTTGGAGACCTTCATCTTGAGAAAGGCAAGCTCAGGAAAGATTCGGCAGAGTTTGACGAGGTTGCTGCCCTATATGCTGCTGCCCTAATGCGCTGCAAAGATCCAGACATGCGAAAAACACTGGAACATCGTATGCGGTACACAGAGAAACTCTCCAGACAACTGCTGCAGGGGTACACTCCACATTTCCTGTGGTTGTCACCAGACTACTGGGGCCCTGCTGACAGTGATGTCTTAAGGGTGATGGAAACCTGTGACCATGTGGGTCAAATCATGAATGAACCAAAGAACCAAGTAAGGCTATCCGTTGAGGACGCCTACACACAAGCACTCGTAACTGCCATTGAACTCGGTGACATGTTATTGGAACAAGAGGTTCTTAAATCGTTAGGAGATCTGTACCTTGAGAAAGGGAAGATCGTCTCTGATGCATCACAGTTCTCCAAGGCAGCTGCCATGTACGACAAGGCCCTGGCAAGGTGTGAGGAGCAAGGGGCAAAAGAAACTCTGCACCATCGCATCAGATACGCAGACAAGATCAGAGAAGCAGTGAAAAAGGTAAGTAGTTTCAGCATCTATTCAATACACTGACTGTTTTACAATACTGAGCTATCACAGCCCCAAATAGAAATTATTAAAAGTCTTGTTACATATGTATTGTTAGGAATCATAATAGTTACAAACAATAAGAAAATCAATGTCAGTTATTAAGAATGTGATCCCAAACATGACTAAGTTTATGCCCCCCTCATCACGCTTCATGACTTGATTGTGATAGCTCAGTATTGTCAGTTAACAAATCTTATATTATATATAGAAACACTTTACATTTTGAACCGCATAATTCCCTATGATGTAACAATGCTTAGTATGTATGTCACAATTACAGTACGTTCCGGAATGTATTGTAAACAGAAAAAACTAGCTCAAGTGCACTATGAACTATGTAACACCTTTAGTGCACTATGCACCAAGTAACATCTAGTGTCACTGCACAGTAAACCAGTCAGAATTGCCCTGATGAAGATGACAGACGGTCATCGAAACGTCGGTTCATGAAAAATAAATGGTTGTGATAAAAAGAACTTTGTCATTCGGTCACTACAATTGTTGAAAAACCTTATATCTTACACACCATTTATTTGACTACACATGTAATAGACATCTACATGTAGTGTTTGCATTCTCAAAAGTCTTAAAGGCCAGCATATAATCACCATTTGCCACATGAGAATGTAGAATACCAAAGGAAATAGTGGAGAAATAATAATAATGAATGTTGGTTTCATATACTCAGCGACCTTCCACAAAGAGGCCAGCCATGCTAGAAAGTAGGAAACACTCAGGTGACCGAATTGCAGGAGCTGGTGTTATGCAAGGTCAACACCCAGATCAAGACATACCAAGGTGGGAAAAAACAAATGTATACCTGTAAAACTGCAAAACAATACACACTCTGTCTCTTAATGTTTGCCTCTTACTGCATATTAAAATTTCATGTCTTAATTAGGTCATAGACCCCCAATTTTTTTTGCCCTGCGGTGGCATAGTTACTTCCGCATTCGTTGCGTTTCGCTGCAGTGTGATGCGTTGCACGATAAATACCCCCAAATCGTACCTATACAGGGTGCTACATAGATGGTACTGTATGTGCAGAACAACAATTGTTGTGCTCCGCAGGACAAGGGTTAAAACAAGAAATATATGATTTTTTGTCCTCACTAATCATGCAAATGCCATCTAGATTAACATAATATATGCATAGTGATGTTAACGTTACACATGTCACAAGGTATAAAATTCCCATCATTAACCAATAAGCAATCACAGAATTTTCACATAAATTATGCAAAGTAGGTCATCATTTGCATACTTGGTATCTGTTAATGTTCCACCTGACATAGATTAAATAGATTACATTAGAAAAGTACTAGTATATAAAACACTGTAATTATAGAATTTCCTTACATTGCATGCATTATCATAATGACATGATATTATAAGGTCACATTTTTATAAGTTAAGAAAAGTTTTATCTCCCACTTAAAGGCAGTACAAGGACCACCTAAAGGAAGGTGAAAGATCTTTTGCCAGGTCAGACCTGGACTCAGCAGAACTGTGCTTTGCAGCTGCACTCAAGACTGTACATCTAAGAGGTAAGAAAGAGCATTTCTTATGGACTTAAACATCATAAATTATGGTTCTGAGCTAGAAAACGTTGAGAAGAGTAGAGCAACAATGTTCACATTCCATTATTGTGTATATATGCAAATACATTATGTTTTAAAGGCTACATTTAAATCTAACCAAGAAGAAAAATAGTCTAAAATCAAATTCTTTCTCCCCAGACCCCACAGCCCAGCAGTACCAGAGAGAGGTGGAGCCCCTGTGCAAGTTGGGGGATGTCTACAGTAAGCGAGGTCAGCAGACAGGAGACGGGGGAGACTTTGTCAAAGCAGCAGCACTCTACAATGCAGCAATAGCCAGGTCAGAGGACCAAGTCACAAATAGTAACTTAGCAACAGCTATAAGAGAAGTAGAGAAGTCATTTATTAGATGTAGCTTAGGCATTCATTGCAATGTGAGCCAAGATAATATAGAAAAACATAAGAAACAGCTGAAGGAGATGCGGGACCAGATCAAACTGGAGATGGAAATTATTGACCAGCAGCTGGATCCCTATGTACACGATGAGGACGACCCATGTGTCAAAGAGATAGAGGCAAAACGAGCTCAAGCTATTAGGAAATTATTCGAAAGAATTGCAAAAGAAAGAGAGGAATTTATCAGCTTGCGTGTAGAAGAGTGTATTGGGTTAATGGGTCCCCCTCCCTGTAAGTATGCCATGATAGGTTTGGGTTCACAGGCCACAGGACTGGTAACTCCATACTCAGACCTGGAGTTTGCCATCTTGGCAGAGGAAGAAAGTGAAGAATATAAGGCTTATTTCCGTAACCTCACCCACTATCTACACCTCAAGGTGGTCAACCTGGGAGAAACCATTCTCCCAGCACTGGGAATAAAATCTCTCAATGACTTCTACTCTAAGAATCCACTTGACGACTGGTACTTTGACTCTGTTACACCTCGTGGGTTTGCATTTGATGGTTCCATGCCAAAAGCAAGCAAGACTCCACTGGGCAGGCAGGAAACTATTAACGAAGCACCCAGTGAACTCATTTGCACCCCAGAAAATATGGTTTTGATGTTTCAAAAGGATGTCACACTATACCTGAAGAAGGAATATCACCTAGCCACTATCTTGAGAAACCCATGCCTGATAGCAGGGGATCAGGGTTTGTTTGACACATATATGGGCATTATAGTGAAGATACTGCAAGCTGATGGGGGTAAAATGGCTCGACAACTGGCAGAGGTGACAATCATTGAAAACTTTGAAAATTACAATGAATGGAAAAGCACATTCACGCCAAAGGTGATTGATGTGAAGAAAGAACTCTATCGCTTCCCCGCTGTAGCAGTGGACTGCTTGGCACTGTCCTCAGGCATCATACCTACCACAGTTTGGGAAACAATAACAGACATGGAACTCAAAGACGTTGTCAGTGCTGAAAATGCACATCATTTGCTGGTGCTGTTGAGCATCTCAGCAGAACTCAGGCTTAGAACTTACATTGAAAATGGAGGGCAGAAAGAAAACTTGTCAGCTCTGGCCTCCATAGAATCAATGCTGGGTGAACAGCAATCGCCCCTACAGAGAAATGACAAAAAAAATGTACTGAAAAATGTATTCTACCTGCAGAACGAAAAACAACTTTTCAGGTACTATTACACTGTAGTACCTCTTAAAAAACATCTATATGAAACATCAGAATCGATTCAGTTGGTGCCATCCTCTGTACCCAGTGACATTAGCGAACAGGTGAAAGCTACAGAGGATGGCATCCAGACACCCAGGCATTCAATGCCTACTTTGTGCAATACCTCTTCTACCATAAGAGGAATAATGTACTTTGAGCTATGTGCATATAAGCAGGCCATCAACCTTCTTAACAAGGCAATCTATGATGAAATGGGCATTGATGACAAAATTGAACTTCTTGACTATGTGGGAATGGCCTATAGGTACCTCGGGGATTACAAAAAGTCAATCCAATACCTGGAACAGGTGCTGAAGATGCAGAGGCTTCTATATATAGGTGGTGAGAATGCAGTACATCCTCAAATTCTCAGATCACTTGCCCATCTAGGGAATTCCTGGCTTGAGTTTGGTGATAACAAAAAAGCCATAGGCTACTTTGATGAGGCACTGAAGATGCACAACAGAATCTTTGGTAAGGGTAAAGCAGATCCTAGCATGGCAGGTTTATTTGTAAGTCTGGGGTTAGCTTGGTACAATCTGGGCGATTATAGACAAGCCATTGGATACCATGAACAGGCACTGAAGATGCACAGGAGTACCCATGGTCAGGACACAGCAAACGGTGAAATTGCCCATGCATTAAACAACTTAGGATTAGACTGGTATGATCTTGGTGACTACAGCAAAGCAGAGAGCTACTCAAATGAGGCACTACAAATGTACAGGCGTCTCTATGGTCAGAACACAGCACATTTAGATACTGCCAGGGCTCTGAGCAACCTGGGGCGAGTCATGGATGTACAAGGTGAACACCTCAAAGCTATCAGCCACTTTGAACAGGCACTACGTATGGGTCAAATTGTAGTTGGTAAGAGTGCAGCACATCCTGTTATTGCTGACACACTCAACAACCTGGGGGCAGCCTGGAATAATTTGCGTAACTACATAAATGCGCTCACTCACTATGAAAACGCCTTAAAGATGTACAAAAGTATCTATGGTCCTAATAAAGCACATTCTGACATTGCAATGTCACTAAATAACCTGGGGTCAGTCTGGCATGATCTTGGTGATCATAGAAAAGCTGCCAGCTACTATGAACAGGCACTGCAGATGGACAGGAGTATCCATGGTCAGGCTAAAGCACATCCTGACATTGCTGGGTTACTCACCAACCTGGGAACTGCATGGCATGGCTTAGGGGATAACAGGAAAGCTATCAGTTACCACGAACAGGCACTGAAGATGTACAGGAGTATCTTTGGCCAGAGTACATCACATCCTAACATTGCCACATCACTCCAAAACTTGGGGGTTTACTGGAGTAGTCTTGGCGATCACAGGAGAGCAATTAGGTACTATGAAGAGGCACTGCAGATGTGCAGGTGCTTCACTGGCCATAACAAAGCACCTCTAGACATTGCTAGGCTACTAGGCTACCTGGGAGAGGCCTGGCTTCACTTAGCTGATCACCGGAAAGCTATCAGACACCTTGAACAGGCACTGCAGATGTTAAGGAGTATTCATGGTCAGACTACAGCACGCTCTGACATTGCCAAAGTACTCGGCGACCTAGGATCGTCCTGGACTAATCGTGCTGATTTCAGGAGAGGAATCAGCTACTATGAAGAGGCACTGCAGATGAAGAGAAGTATCTATGGTCAGAGTACGGCGCATCGTGACATTGCCACCTTACTTAATAACATAGGGCTAAACAAGGACTTTCTTGGTTACAAAACAGAAGCTTTCATACTGTACAAAGAAGCATTAGCCATGGCATTGAAGCTTGATCCTTCAGACAAAAGGAATGCACTAATAAATCAAATTAAAGAGAATATGAACTAGACACTCATTTCATTGCCTCCGTTAGGCATCAAACGAAAATAATGTATACTATCATGAAAGTCCATCTGTGTTGGTAGTTACATGTTTAAAGTTAAAACTATTGATCCGACAGAAAGAAATCTCTCACCTAGAGCTTTCAACCAGTCACTTTGGTCTTCCTCAGTAGACTTGACCCAGTGAAGCTTGTCACGTGGCTTCTTTGAAGTGACGTCAACACTGGGTCAAAGGTATCTGGTAGACGATGTCGGCCCCCGTCGCGGTTCAATGAAGGGTGATGGGCCCTGACGTATATGGCTTCCTTCACCCATCTCAAGAAATAGTCTTGTTCAATGTCCAAAATCATTACAGTGTCAAATGAAACAAAATGTCCGGGTGACTCTAATGTGGATGTGTTGTGACACCTCTGAACTGGCAGAGCTTGGCCGTGTATGTTCTTGGAACCTGGCTTTCATAAAATAATGTATAGTTACTAGTATATACTGTTATGGTATCTCAGTGGGAAATCTTCTATCTGGGATGTTCTCACCTTCTTTATTGTCTAAGTAGTCTATGAATGTATGTCAAACTTTGTAATACCTAGTAGACAGGTTTAATGATCTACATAAAAGTACCGTACGATGTATCAGCATCTGTACATGTATTCTATACTTTGTGTAAATGGCATTGTTTGTTGGATATAGGCCATATGCCAGATGTAAATATGATTTTTAATGACCACTTTGCTATGGATTTACAAAAGTCAAATTATAAAGTAAGGTGATAATGGACCCAATTGCAAATGTAAAAGTTACTGTTACAAGTTACTGTCAAGACACTATGATACTATGATCAAGACTCTTGTACTAAATAGATGGCCCATACATTGAAGCCTGTTTTAGTTGACTTGTATGGTGCTTGGACTATTTACCAGTTTAACCACTTGCTTCCCACAGATTAATTTGGACACGTGGTGTTGGAGAATTAAAGTAGAAATGTTACTAATCAAGTTTTCTGTTGGTCATTGTTTACTTTCCACAAGGTGTAAATGTGCATTTTGATGTAGTACACACACATATATATATGTGTGTGTGTGTGTGTGTGTGTGCGTGTGTGTGTGTGTATGTGTGTGTGTGTGTGTGTGTGCGTGCGTGTGTGTTTGTGTGTATGTGTGTGTATGTGTGTGTGTGTGTGCGTGCGTGTGTGTGTGTATGTGTGTGTGTGTGCGTGTGTGTGCGTGTGTGAAAAGCATGTGAAAAGTCAAGTTCATTTTGCCACAGAAATAAACACACACACAAGACACACATATCACACAAAACAATTATTGGTACAAACTTTTATTTCCCATATTATGAGCTGCTGTCAAAGTGAGATTTCAAGGGTTTCCAAACCACCAGTTACACAAATATATATACATGGCCTACGAAATCTGCATCAAATTTGTAGTAATATGAACTATCATTTTCCCCATTATGACATTCAAGATTAATCAAGATGTTACAAAATTTTCCAAATTAAAAAAAATAGTCAAAACTTCCACCACAGATACAGCAGTTCGATTCAACTGTTGTGACAATTTCTGAACTGCCATGTTGATGTACTAATGTACAAGTCTTGTCCTATTTCTATTATAAAAATATTTAAAAAACTGATGCACACATGGGTGTCATCAAAAATCAAATGAAATAAAGCCAAAATATGTTATGCATTTTAAGCAATAATATGACTATTAAATTCATAATCCCTTACTCAAAAATGCAATTGATAATAACAATATCACACAATACTTAAAGATCCATACTTGAAAAACCTTTGTGTATTTTTGTAACTCATTGATATATCCCATCAAGTTCTGACAACTTAAAACATTATCTGTTGCCTTGCCTATGATGAGAAGGATTCATCCTATAGACAGGTGTAAATAAGTGCATAGTCAGTTGTTCACCACTTCACTGACCATTGCCGATGTTGTGTCCATTTGCCGTGCTCTCGGCTGGCTGCAATAACGAGAAATGTTTATTGAATTATGTCATAATTAATAATAATTATCATGATCTTTATTGTATGTTAATTCTCTGTCCTATGGGCCAAGCACATAAAAGTTAATATACACTTTACAGACAAAAGTTCATGTATATTGATACAAACTTAGTTACGACTTACAGATAGTAACAAGACTTAGTAATCTAAAACACATTACGTAAATCTGATTCTTGTTTTTTTTTTGTGCTGCTGAACACAGGAAGATAGAGCTTTATTAGTCACTTACTGTCATGTGTTCAGAGCCGGGAAATTTTCTTTCAAATTGAAAAGTGACCAAAATGATTTCAACTGTTCTATACTATAGCCTAAGGTTAAACATTGTTTCTTAAGATTTTAAAGCCATCTCATAGGAAAACCTTGTCATAGTGTACATACCTCGATACTTCGAGCTGCCTCTCTAACTGCCTTTGTGTTCAGAGTCACACCAAAGATGTCTTCATGATAGCGGTTGGAGTCCTAGGAATAGAAAATTATAAACTATATTGTAAATACACGCATCATTATGGTTAATCCTGAGGCTCTCTACAGAGGTCCACAATTGGAGACTTAGTTCAGCCACCAATAGATTTGTGATAACTGCTTTTTAAACAGATTCAGCTCTTTAAATAAAAGACAGTTGTTTCTTCAATCAGACGCTTACAAAACTTAAACCCGAATCTCTCTCCCTCTTGCCTGTGTTACACAAGCTCTCGGCCGGAGGTTAATGACCGGGGCGGCAACTTCAGGGCGGCCGGCCGCCAGGAGCGTGATTAGTCAGGCTATCTCTCCCTCAATCAGACAAAATTTGAAGAGTATACGTTTTGTGTCAAACATAATATTTACCTTCAGATTTCTGATGAAGGCTTCGCTCTCTGTAGATGTCATTGCGGAATTTTCCTCCAATATTTTCTGCACAGTTGTGCAGACATCGTCAGCCATGGCCACATCACCGCAGACATAGATGTGTCCATCACTGTCCAGTAGCTCCTGGACTCTCTTGGACAGCTGGTTGTGTAAGATGTGCTGGACATAGGTCTGAGAAAGAGGGGGAAAATAAAATAACATTCAGTGAGTTTCCAAACTATTAGTAACATTGGGAAACAGTTAAACTCATTGACAAAAAGCAACTCATACCAAAAATGTTTTTTCTTCTTTTCTCATGTTGAGAAATATTTTCTTGCCAGGGGGATTTTCAAGAAAATTCAAGAAACACTCTTCAAATATTTTGTATGTTGATTCTTACACAAAGAATTTTATTCTTCTTTTGTCTTCAGAAAAGAAAATAGTTCTACTATCATGCTCACCAACAAGAATCTTAAGAATTTTTAGAAAGTTAACAGTATTTTTGTCTGCTTCAAGAAATCTTTTTTTGTGTACAGAATGGTTTTCTTGCTTCAAGAACAGTTAGCTCTTAGTTCAAGAAATATTTTCTTGTGGACAGAATCGTTTTCTTGCTACAGCAAGAAAACTCAAGAAACACATGTGTTTCTTGAATTTTCTTGCTACAGGGATTCTTTAATTTCTTGTTCAAAGAATTATTATCTTGCTACATGAGATACCATTTCTTTGTACAAGGAAAACAAGAAAAACAAGAAAGCATTTTTGGTAGTGATATATAGGTTTTAAAAATTGTCAGATGTTGCATCCACTACTTTTGGTGAGTGATGGTACATGGATGCTACTTGAGACGTCTGACCGTTTTAAAAATCTATCACTACTTTGAGAGAAAATAATTAAATCAAAATTAATCATTCCTGCTTTTTGGGAAAATTTTGCTGAAAAAGGCAGGGTCTAAAGGGGATACCAGCTATACTTTAGTCAAATTCAAATAAAACCACCTAGCATTAGAACCATTAGTCATAATTCAGAGTAAGAAAGGAAAATGACTACCGAAACATTCAAAGTAAAGATTTGGTTCTCAAATTAATCCATGGGGATGTAACTCAGAGACTAGAATAAAGTCATTGTACGTACATGTGAAAGGATGAAGTTTCAGACTATACAGATATATATAATTTTTATCAATCAAGGCTCTGAATTAATGGTGTCCTGATGGCCACTGACCACTAAAATTTAACCGGGACAAAGACAGTTTCGGACATTTTTGGGACAACAGAACAATAATCAACATCATTATATATAATATATTATATAATGTTTGCCCCTCTTTTGTTTATCAGGCACACGTTCCCAAATTTCCTGCCTACTCTACAATCATAGTTTGCCTGGGAGTCAGAATGTCAACTTAAGTTGAAGTCATACAAAACTTCCAGAAAAACAGATTGGGACAGTTCATCCTCACTTTGGGACAATTGAAATTTATTTTTGGGATACTGCTGGGACATTAGGAAGAAAAGTTAATTTCGAGGCCTGTATCAATAATATTGCATTTTCATATAATTGTAATTTACATTTACCTTTGGCCTGCCTGGTTCCCTGGAGTAGGCTGTATAGATGTCCGTCAGAGCTCCGTCTGTCTGAGCCTGAGCTGTCTCCTCCCGGTAGATGTGGTCTGTCTCAGACTGTCTACAGCCAAACACCAGGGTCATGTCACCATGGTGACGGTTACCTAGCAACAAGAGATGTACAAAGGAAATTTTTAAAAATCAAACTTAATTATAATTCAGTACAACTGTTACAGTACAAAACGTTGTAGATACATGTACACAATTGTACATAATGATACATAAGAAACAAATTTTTGTAACATAAAAGGAGTTACTGGATGAATGAATTAATGAATTAATGAATTAATATATTAATGAATTATTGAATTATTGAATTATTGAATTATTGAATTATTGAATTATTGAATTATTGAATTATTGAATTATTGAATTATTGAATTATTGAATTATTGAATTATTGAATTATTGAATTAATGATTTAATGAATTTATGAATTTATGAATTTATGAATTTATGGTTCTCTCTTTGTAAATATGTGCATTCCAATGCTCACCCAAGGGAGGAATAAAGATGAAGAAGAAGAATAAAGCTGCAGTTTTCTTGTTCTCTGTCTTGTCTTGTTGCCATTCATTTGGATAATATTAGTCTGGCCACTTTTCCTCAGTTCTTCGAGTGGTTGTGTTTAATGTATTAGGCAAGTACATCATTCTGTACTACTCTCCAAGCAGAGGTTTGGGTTTGGCGTCATTCACCCCGGGGCAGGGCAAACCTATTCAAGAAATGTCACAGTGCTCCTCCCAGAGAACCATAAAACTATCATTAGGGATATCCATTTTACTGTGGTGGATTATCACACATCTAGCCAGTCAGAAAGGCATTCATTCGGCCACACGCCTCCTGCTGACTGTGCCTATTCATGCGTCTGGTTCACACTTCCTTGCAGAACGACTAAAATGTGTTGAAGTGATTAAGTTTATAGCCCATTGAAGCTTTCGACTGCCGGCAGAGGTTGGGTTTGGTGGGGAAAAAAATTCCAGTGCAAAAGAGAAACCCAGATAAAAAAAGCCTAAAAACACGCCAAAAATAAACCCAAACCCAAACCTCTGCTTGGAGAGTAATTCTGTACATCATTCTACATTCATTGAATGTCCGTTCAATTCTGTTTCTAAGACCGATGTTCTTACCTGACTTGATCTCTGCCTGTCGTTGTTGCCAGAAGCTGCGGAGCGGAGCAATACCTGTACCGGGACCTACCATCAGCACCGGCACAGAGGGGTCATCAGGCAGGTGGAAATTCTTCGCCCTGGAACAATTATAATAAACATGATAGTTATATCATGATAAAAATATTAGAACATAGAACATAGTAACAAATTGAGGATGAGTTTACATGTAATTCTTACTACTATAGCAGCACCGGGAGCTGAGGAGGGCCTGATACACATCCAGAACATGGAAGCACAAGACATTGACTTACGAATTTTTATCATAACAAAGAATGTAAGACAGCATGTTTATCATCAAAAATACTCTTACATGTATATTAAAGAAGTCTAAGATATCATAACATATTCAAGATAAAACAAATAACTTACGTTCTCACGAAGCAGGGGACAGTTTCTCCCTCCTCAATCCTGTTCAACCACGAAGAGCAGACACCATTGTGTGTGGGACCTTTTCCTCCTGAAATGATGACATAATATTCAAATTTATTAAATTATGAAGGTATTATTTTGATTTATATAATTACCATGATGATGGTATTGTATTCAGTTAATATTATGACTGGTTTTCAAATGTAAGAAAAAATCCTGAGCTTCTATTGGTATGATTGTCATAGAATCCTGAGCTCCTATTGGTCTGATTGTCATAGAATCCTGAGCTCCTATTGGTCTGATTGTCATAGAATCCTGAGCTCCTATTGGTCTGATTGTCATAGAATCCTGAGCTCCTATTGGTCTGATTTTCATAGAATTCTGAGCTCCTATTGGTCTGATTTTCATAGAATACTGAGCTCTTATTGGTCTGATTGTCATAGAATCCTGAGCTCCTATTGGTCTTATGATTGTTGTAGAATCTTAAGCTCCTATTGCGTGGATCTGACCAGGGTACATGTGTGGGTTAGTGTAAGACCTACCCTGTGTCCTGTAGCTGACCACGGCCAGTGTGGCGTGGATCTGACCAGGGTACATGTGTGGGTTAGTGTAAGACCTACCCTGTGTCCTGTAGCTGACCACAGCCAGTGTAGCGTGGATCTGACCAGGGTACATGTGTGGGGAGGAGCTGATGGAATAGTAGCGCTGCTGCAGGACCGGTAACTGACTCAGCAGCAGTGCCGGCGGTACAGTCAGGGACGGGAACTCCTGTAGTACCTCTGGCAGGGTCGGGGCATGCTCAAACTTCCAGTCCTCATACTTTGTACCACCCTGGGGGGAAAGAACCGTCAGTTTTATAATATGCTCATGAAAATTCATGAAGGTTTATTCCTTGAGGCTGTTTATCAATCAATCAATGATCGATCAATCAATGATCAATCAATCAATGATCGATTAATCAATGACTGATCAATCAATGACTGATCAATCAATCAATCAATCAATCATCCACCAACCCAAGGCAGACACAGAAACATAGAGGTTAACACAATAGCCTCCGGCTAGTTGGGCAGTCTTATTCAGCCTAATAAATCAACATACATGTACCTGTCCTTGGTGCTGAACTCTCAACTCACACACAGTCACACACACACATGTGCTTTTAACCTACTTGCACATCAAGTTCTAAATGTGATTTCCTGTGTCTGACCTGTCCTTTTGCCTGTCAATCTTTCCCCCACCCATGTGCTGTCAACCTACTACCTATGTCAGAATAAAACCCCGATTACACAGCTCAGCCTACCACAAGCAACACATCCGCACAGAAGGAAAAAGCAGAAATGTCTCAATTTTCAAAGTTTACTTTCAAGATGGATTCCATTTCTGAGTTTGAAGGCACTCTCTGCCCATGTACAGGCCCATCAATCAATCAACTAGGATTCCCCTTGTCAATACATATAGAATACAACATGGGGTATTCCGTATCGCCCGAGGTATCGGGCCGACCGTGGGTCGGATCGCGGGAGGGCCGGGACCGAGGGCGATGCGGAATACACCATGTTGTATTTTATTTATGTCATACCCACCCAAGAAAACACGCCTTTTAATGCAAGATGAGCCAAAAGTTGGTGCCACTGAACCCTAAAATGCAACAACATCAATTCCAACGTCCGGATTCTGTATTCGAATTTTCGAAAGGGGCACGCGCGGTTAGGGCGAAACGCGTTCGAAACGTTTTATGGAAGCCATGGAAGCGTTCGATAACGGGTTCCGGACTGGGCCGTACCGTAAAGTACGGCCCGGTCTGGAACCCGTTATCGAACGTTATCGCGGCCCGGGTATGATATAAATCAACATACATGTACCTGTCCTTGGTGCTGAACTCTCAACTCACACACAGTTACACACACACATACATGCTTTAAACCTGCTTGCACATCAAGTTCTTAATGTGATTTCCTGTGTCTGACCTGTCATTTTGCCTGTCAATCTTTCCCCCACCCATGTGCTGTCAACCTACTACCTATGTCAGAATAAAACCCCGATTACACAGCTCAGCCTACCACAAGCAACACATCCGCACAGAAGGAAAAAGCAGAAATGTCTCAATTTTCAAAGTTTACTTTCAAGATGGATTCCATTTCTGAGTTTGAAGGCACTCTCTGCCCATGTACAGGCCCATCAATCAATCAACTAGGATTCCCCTTGTCAATACATTGTATTAAAACTTTGAAAACACAAGCAGTCCACCCATAATAATACTCCCTCATGAATAAGTAGCCTCTGCCATTGACCCAGTTGTAAGAATTAGGAGAGTAGAAAAAGAAAGACACTCCTGGTCCCTGGCCGGGGTTTGAACCCACAACTAAACCCAGGCACCAGTCCACATGCTGACACTCTAACGATTCGGCTAAAAGGTCTAGACCCATCGGCCGGGTCAGTTGGTAGTACCTATAAACCCCCCACTGTTACACAGTGACCTGTCTAAGACCAATGTGTGTCAGCAGCCAAAGTTGATAAATTCTACCACCTATGTCTGAGTCGGTGTACAGAAAGTGCGAAATGGAACGAAATGGACGAAATGGAACGAAATGGAACAAAATGAAACTAAATATGTATGAAGTACGTTGGAACGGCGACGTTAGTGCGTTTTTGCTATCTATTTCATTTCATTGTGCACATGTAAGGGACACGGCTGGTGATAAAATTCCTCCCCATGGGCATACCGCTAGGGCAGACAGAGACCACAAAGAAGCATACTTTGACTGCTCACCTCAAAACTCAATAAATTGTTTTTATAACGTACCTTATAACGTTGTGGTCACTTAATTCTTAACATACCCTGATCCATCTTATAACGTTGTGGTCACTTTATTCTTAACGTACCCTGATCCATCTTATAACGTTGCGGGCACTTTATTCTTAACGTACCCTGATCTATCTTATAACGTTGCGGTTCTAAGAATACCATCTACATGTATCTTAACGTTGCCATTTGGACGTCGAGCGGACACTAGCATCGCCGTTCCAACGCACAAATGGCTTAACGGCTTTCCTCCATACATATTTCGTTTCATTTCATTCCATTTCGTTCCATTTCGCACTTTCTGGGGTCCCGTCTGAGTCTATTTCCTGTCACTCCAGAGTGAGTGCTACACACACCCTCCTTGCAACTACAGTCAAAAATCAAAACGACTGTACAAGGACGTAATAAGACTACCTTAGCGAGTTCCTGTAGTCCTGCCTTCTCCGCAGTGTCGTTGGTGTGCATGGCCAGACTGCCCAGCAGTTGTGGGGAGGGGGGCGTGGTGATGTCCAGGTACCGCGACAGGGCCGTACGCAGGGAACATGGCGGCAACCGCTCAAAAGGCATCCACGTTTTTGTCACCACTGAACAAAACACACAACACATTTAATTATTATAACCGCTGTGAGTCAAATGGGTCAAAAAGCAACGCTAAGTAGAAAGGTTGCCATTTGCTTGGGAGCAAATACAGCATATTTCAGTCCATCTCCCTCCCATGCAAAAGTGGACTATTCAAAACTTACTCCAGTGCAAAACTGGAAGATTCTCAAATAAATAAATTATATAGCAACTATGTAATTGAGGACATAGATGCAAGAACAAGCACTTTGAATCTCGACAGATTTACTTACAACATTTCACATTACTCTTATCACACAATCTTTTTGCAGGTATGAAAATGGAAGAAATTATCTTAAGTCACCACCAAAAAGTGGTCACATAATAGACAGTTGGAAGATTTTGTACACAAATTGTATGCCTAGCAACGTATTTTTTTAATACTACCTGAGTGTAATTGCTGGTGCACAAACTGAAACTGAAACTGTAAAATATGTTTATATGCTACATGTTTTCATACAGAATACACTAAATAGACAGTTTTCAAAAAGACAATGAAGATGTGAACTGGTTTATTATGGGTACTGTTACTTTTACATACCAGCTGCAACAGTCTTCTTGTGTAGTGCTTCTATTTCAAGCACATCATCCGGATTGGTACCACCATCAATTCTACCCAGAATCCTCTGCACAAGATGGCCCTCATTGGCTGGGAAGACGCCAAGATGGTCGCCGGGTGAAAACTTCAACTCTTCGCGGCCCTTCGTGTCCAGTTGAACCAAGATTGTCTGTCGACTGAGGTTCAATGGAACAATAAACATGTAAGAAAACTAGAGAAGTAACATTTGCAAAGCAAATGCATTATGTTTACCATCGGACTTGGTCTGCTCTGTTAACTCAAACACATTCACATACATGTACTACTAGTATATGGTGACAGGAGCAGAGTAGACCATGAAATTGCAACATTATGTAACCCAACACCAGTCACCATGGTGACAGACGTCAACAAATCATGCCATTGGTCAGGTCATAGGTCACTGTTTGGAGAAGAAGAAGAGGAAGAAACTGAATGAAAACAATATGTTTTCCTTCGGTAAACATAAATATCATCAAAAGCTACTAAACTGTTGTGGCAAATCTAACGTTCTGATGGCAACAACTGCTTTCAAACTTTTAATTTAATTTGTGAAAAGTATATTGAGTATTTATAATAACTAGATATAACAGCACAAATTGCTCTACTTATTATGAAAACTTGTTTTAAATTTGCTTTTTCTTCTCTCTTCTTCAAACACATAATAATTAAGGTCAATGACCTAGGCCAGATGTCTGTCACCATGGTAACTGATGCTGTAGCAGACAGCCTGTGGTGTTGGGTTATATTATGTAGCAGGAGAGTTGGAGGGCCTGGTCACCATACATGTATACTAAGACCAAGTATATAAAGTTGTTTGAATAAGAATTAACGGGATTATTATTTGTTAGGCTTGACAATGTTAAAATTAATGTAATGCATTTGCTTTGCAAATGTTTGAAAGTTTTCTTACCTTGAATCAGGTGCCTGTAGTTGGGTTCGCGAAATGAAGGTACAAGGTACAACGTTCTTACGATGCACAGTGGACAAACCTAGTGCATGTATTGTAAAGAAACAATGTTTAATTGAGACAGGGGGTACCAAAAACTTTCTCCAACTCTTGATCCAGATAGGGTTTTTGAAAATGTTCTAAAACACCAAAAAATACACAGTGACCAGAAATCAGAGAAAGATTAAACATTGTACAACAAACCATGTGAATATTCATAAGATTGGTGAGTCACTTTTTACACAACCAAGTAAGAGGTTTATTCAGCCAATGATTCGGTAACCGTCTGTCACCTTCCTCAGGGCAATTCTGACTGGTTCACATTGTACATCACAGTTGTTGATGATATAGATGCATTCCCAAATCAAAGTATTTACATATAAACATAGTTACAGGGAACTGTATCTACAATGTACCTTCCAGTAAGTCTGTGTCCTTGTTACTCTTGGCCTGTACAAGTCGGAACTTGTCGGGTGCCCAGCTCAGATCACTGCCCAGGAGATTAGCGGTGGCTTCGTTCATGTCAACCCCATGTCCAACATCGTAACTCAAACATGCAGACTGTGTGAAAAGAAGAATACAAAAAAAATATATTTCATCTATACCATGGTATGGAGTGAAATAACTTTTCATGCAAAGTTTTAACCAAGGTATGCTTCATATTTCCTTCTATGATAAACAGATGTGAAAACAAATGTACAAAAACAATATATTTCATTCATATCATGGTATGGAGTGAAATAACTTTTCATGCAAAGTTTTAACCAAGGTATGCTTCATATTTCCTTCTATGATAAACAGATGTGAAAACAAATGTACAAAAACAATATATTTCATTCATATCATGGTATGGAGTGAAATAACTTTTCATGCAAAGTTTTAACCAAGGTATGCTTCATATTTCCTTCTATGATAGATAGATGTGAGAACACTGTGTGTACAGGTGCCAGTGCACTTCCAACAAGAAAACAAACATTAAAAAACAATATATTTCATCCATACCATGGTATGGAGTGAAAGATAAAAAACTTTTCATGCAAGGTTTTAACCAAGGTATGCTCCATATTTCCTTCTAAGATAAATAGATGTGAGAACACTGTGTGTACATGTAGGTGCCAGTGCACTTCCAACAACAAGTTGGAGATTTCAGACTTCCAGAAAGTATTTTGGATTTTAAGACATTTATTTATTTATTTCTGTTTTATTTAAACAGGGTAGAGACCTCAGTGCTATTTAAAAACACTGCTTTTCAGGAATGCCCTGTGACAACAAGTTATATGAAAAAAATGAAACCAACAGTCATTAAACAATACATAAAGCTACAAAACAACCAAGCGTCAAAACAAAATCGTTAACCGTAAATCAATTTCGTTCAAGTTCAATCTTCATTTACTGTGTATTGCATATCATTCTGCCTGTCAATCTTCCCCCAACCCATTGCATACAGAAACAGCTGTTAACATACATGTTACCTGTCCTTGGTGCTGAACGCTATATCTCTCAACTCACACAAAGTCACACGCAATGTGATGCCCCAATGTCAATTCAGCCTCTGGCTGCCATTTTTGGGACAGTGTTGTTGTGTTTTAATGCAAATAAACCACATATGTGCTTTCAACCTACTTAAACATTAAGTTCTAAATGTGATTTCCTGTGTCTGACCTTTTGACCTGTCATTTTGCCTGTCAATCTGTCTCCACCCATGTGCTGTCAACCTACTATATGCCATGTCAGACTAAAACCCCAATTTCTATATAATACACAGCTCAGCCACCCAAAAGCAATACTTCCATACCTGAAAATGATGAAGAAAAAATGAAAATGTCTAAAATTTTATTTCTTTTTTAGATGTTAGATTTCTGTTTCTGACCTTGAATGCACTCTCTGCCCAAGTGCGGAATGACTCCTCCTGACCGCAAAGTTCGTCCCCTTCGCCCACGGCATGGATTCGTTGAGCCCCCAGCTGGTCCAGGAGTGTGTCCACACTGTGGCCGAAACCGCAGAAGTGGGGGTAGGCACGGGAACCAAGTGCAAAGACTGCAAACCTGTGGAAGATGCAGTACCAACAAGAATCATAAGGTGGCATTCTTTCACTGTCATTGCACAAATCACAATGTAATGACACCAGGACTTGTAAAAAAAAGGAAAAGTGTGGAGATGGTTTGAAAGAAAACTTTGCTAACCTGACAGAGCTCAGTGGGCCGTTGTCTGGACTGGTTTGATCTTTCTGGTTCTTCATTTGCATTAGGGCACGTGCAAAGATCTGTGATAATAAAAGGAAGGAAAATTATTGTCAAACATCATTTTCTCAGTACAATATCTTTTTACATTACCAACCACAAATACCTATTATAACAGTTTTGCCTACCGTAACAGTTTTTGCTGTAAATGACTATTTTTGTGGTAGCAAAAGTTCACCGTCACTATGTAATGTTGACACTATTTAGGTTATCAGATTGTGTTGACCCATGACCCCACTAGAGGTCACCCTGTGAGCGGCCCTTTGTCCGCCATGTTCTTTGCGAATGTTGCATTAAACGTCTACTCCTACTTCGCGACCGTTATCGTTGAGTCGTCAACTACGTATCTCCTTAATGACACGCGGTCATATTAAAATGGACATGTTCACAGCACTATACATTCTAGCTTGGTGGCGGAAGGTGCAGCAAAAAGAAAGTCAGCGAATTATTTCTTCATCTGTATAAGTTCGTGGTGTAGAAGTGACCACAAAAACTGTGAATGTAAAAGTACCACAAAAATTGTGCTTTACAGTATCTAAGCAGAAGCAAAACTGAAAATTTTGAGAAGAACTGAAAGTTGTTTCACCTTGCCGTTGTCTGGTGGATCTCCATTCCCGAAGGTACTTGTGACAATGATGACCAGCTGTTCTTTGTCCAGTTGTGTCATGTCATACTCATCCATGCAGACCACCTGGGGAACAAAAATGTTTGTTAACTTGGTCGTGGTTGGGTCGTGTGGCGCAGTCGGTAGCGCGTTTGACTCACACCCGAGAGGTGGCGGGTTCAAATCCTACCCATGTCACCAATCTTGTAAGACCGACCTTCCCGGTGTGAGTGATTCAAACCTTATAGTCCGGTCTTACAAAGCTTGTACAAAATTGTTCGTACATGTACAAAACTGGTGTGTTTCGCCTAGAGGCGGTTTACCGGTTATGCAAACAAACAAACAAACTTATGGTGATTCTACCATGCTGGCTTTGAAAAATGTTCAACAGTGTTTGTGTTGTTTACTGACCATAGGCAAGCATTAGGGCATAACTAAACACAACATGGTGTCAGTGGTGGGATCCATTTGATGTATTGCAAAGGTTTTTATATTGTCTAGTTTGAATACAACAGTGAGTGCCCTATCTATACTGTATACAGTTACTCAAACTTCTTGCTAGACTTTTGCTAAATAAATGTTTATCACATAATCTTGAGTTCAGCAAAGTTGACTTAGAAGGTATACATGTAGGAAATACTTTTATGTACTTTTTAAATTCACTGTGTCCTTCCAATATTTTATCAGCTAATTGTTTGGAGATAGGAATTACTATACGTTTACACCAGCAGGGCTCAAAATACCATATGCAGGTTAGTGCAGGTAAAACCAAATGTAACTCTATGTGGAGTTCTTTAGTTGTATTGACTGTAATCAGTTCACATCATGGCACTGGTTTCTGAACAGTTTTTAGTATGATCCATACTTCCTAAATTCAGTGGTTCAGGTAAAACTTAATGTCTGCAGGTAATTTTTAATGTTGTCTGCAACAGTACTGGTATGCAAAATAAAAATATTTGAAGCCCTGACTAAATGACATATGTAAGGTATTATGGTAGCAGAAATGTTCAATACCTTTGCATGGAATGCATGTTTGTAGAGGTCACACAGGGAGTGGGAAAATGTCTCAGCCTTTCCCGTCTGGGAGGCGAACAGTATGGTGGACTTCACTCTCCTGTTCAGGGTCTTTCTCATCAGTCCTGCAGCAAACATCACAGCCCTGCAACATATGGAAATTACAGTTAGGCCACAGCAAGTAAAGTTTATGGATGACATCCTCCACAGACTCCAAATCTAATACAATAGGGAAAAAAAACAAGATGGGCCAAAAAAACAAGATTCTGTCATTATAAATTATAAATATTGAGGTCATACATGTAAGCCTTTTTAACATGAATTGAGGCAACAAAACAAAGCATCACAACTAAATTGTTTTTCTTTGAAATTAGGCCAAAATTTCATGCGCATGCTGATGTCATCCATAAAAAGGACTTGCTGTGGCCTTATAGATTATCTATGATATCATTATACAAAGTATTATGAGATACCAGATTATTTCTAAACCAATGGTATAGTGTTAAAGTTGTGTGTGTGAAAAAATGATCAACATTATACACTTAAAACCCATGATTTAGGCCTTTAAACACAGTTTTCAAGGCATTTACATGAGGCACAGTATATTTAGAGCACTAGTCTAAGAGTACACTGCAACATCAGATACAGTTGATTTTTCATAATGTCATAATGAAGGCATATTTTAGACAGCTTTTGCTCAGAATACAAGTACAAGTAAGACAGTTCTATCTGGAAGTTAAAAAAGTGTTTTTATGCAGAAAACCTCAAATTTTGAGGTTCTAACACTATTTTAGATACATTCAGTACACTTTACAACCAATTCTTCGATAACAAGACAATGCAGTTCCTGTCCTTGGTGCTGAACACCATCCACACACAGGGGAACATGCCTGCCCTTGGTGCTGAACACCATCCACACACATGTGAACATGCCTGTCCTTGGTGCTGAATACCATCTACACACATGTGAAAATGCCTGTCCTTGGTGCTGAACACCATCTACACACATGTGAACATGCCTGTCCTTGGTGCTGAACACCATCCACACACATGTAAACATACCTGTCCTTGGTGCTGAACACCATCCACACATATGTGAACATGCCTGTCCTTGGTGCTGAACACCATCCACACACAGGAACAGACCTGTCCTTGGTGCTGAACACTATCCACACACAAGTGAACATGCCTGTCCTTGGTGCTGAACACCATCCACACATACACACATGTGAACATGCCTGTCCTTGGTACTGAACACCATCCACACACATGTGAACATGCCTGTCCTTGGTACTGAACACCATCCACACACATGTGAACATGTCTGTCCTTGGTGCTGAACACCATCTACACACAGATAAACATGCCTGTCCTTGGTGCTGAACACCACCTACACACAGATAAACATGCCTGTCCTTGGTGCTGAACACCATCCACACACTTGTGAACATGACATACCTGTCCTTGGTGCTGAACACTGTCTACACACAGATAAACATGCCTGTCCTTGGTGCTGAACACCATCCACACATATCTCTACCAGTTTACTTACATGGCTGCTGCCTTGAAACTGCAGCGTTCCTTAGTCCTGATGTACTGTGTGAAGACTGGGGCAGTCGGGGGAGTTTTCCATGTGTGAATCGTCCATCCTGCTGCCTACAACAACAACAACAACAACAAAATAATAAACAATCAGCACTCTAGCTACAAAGTTAAAGCATGGTGCGTAGTAACGATAACAAAACAGTGTAAAAACAAACTGTGACTCCCATTTCACTAGTTTCATTTTGATGTTTTACATACAAATATTCCACCAGTCCTGTAAGTGCAAAACACCCGTACACTACCCGTCAGGGTTTAGGTTTGGAAATATGTTACGTACAGCTGACACATGTATGAGAGTTCAGAGACCGAAAGAACACTAGATCAGCTATACGCTTTATCCATAAGTCCACTTAGAAATGTAACTGATGCATAAGCTATTGCCTAAATTGTATCCAGAACTGTGCCTATCTAGTGGTATTACTGAATAGTTGCTTGAATGTTATGTTAGCATTAGGATCAGGAACAGAATGTAATAGTTTCCCCAATAGTTGTGGGGTCGTGTGGCGTAGCGGCAGAGTGCGCGACTCGGAACTAAGAGTCCCGGGTTCGAGTCCTGACATGCCACCGATCTTGTGCCCTTGGGAAAGACACTTTACACGGCTTTCCTCACTTTGCTCAGGTACTAGGTGTAAATGAGTATTGTCCAGGACCTGTAATGTATTTGTCCCCTGTGTTGGTGACGGCATTAATATAAGTTGAAGAAACTTGAGTGTGTCGTCACCACGTCTGGTGATTACATGTTGGAATAAAAAAAAATAGTTTCTGCAGTATCCAAGAAAATAGATTTACCCCAGACACAGTTCTGAATATGATGGTTTCTACTCATGCCACTCACCTGGTACTCCAGAGCAGGTCTGAGGTGATAGTTCAGCATCTCCTGGTGGAAGACGGGAGTGAGAGAAGAGCAGGAGGGAGGAACGATCCAGACCCAGTCTGAGGGGCAGCCGCCGCGCAGGCGGTGTTCTCTCTCCATGTGCTTCATGAAACTCTCAGTCAGGGTGTGCGGGTCCTGGGTCATCACTCCGTTCATCTGGAACACAAAGTGTGATAACTGTCAAATGATGTGTGATAACTGTCAAATGATGTGTGATAACTGTCAAATGATGTGTGATAACTGTCAAATAAAGTGTGGTAACTGTCAAATAAAGTGTGATAACTGTCAAATAAAGTGTGATAACTTTCAAATAAAGCATGATAACTGTCAAATAAATGTGATTACTGTCAAATATAGTGTGATAACTGTCAGATGTATCAAGCACAAGACACGTTAAGAAAGTTTTAATAATAATTCCTTCCTTCCTTTTCTCTTTGCTGTCTAAAATACATATTGCTGATTTCCTGTTCTTCCTTTTTCTTTCCTTCCTTTCTTCTTCCTTCCTCACTTATGTCAAGGCCCTTAACAGCCATGATCTCTTGATAGAGATAGGGTCATGCTACAGGCTTTCTGCAACCATTTCAAACATCTTTGCAATTTTTATTAGGGTTATATATGTGTCTGTGTGGTAGATGTTGTTTTGTTGTGTTAATACCTGGAAAGTGTGTAGAACAGCAATGTGCACTTCCAGGAAGGCAGCGTCCTTCCACAGAGAGTTGTACCTGGAAGTGTCGTACCCCAACTTCTTGGCGATCATCTGGAGAAAATAAAGTTACCATAAAAATTATTAATGATAATAAACTGATAGGAAAATAAACTTATTTTAAGCTATACCACAAAGCTTTTAAACTCAATATGCTATGATGATTAAACTTCAATGGCTTTGTAAAAGATTATACAAGTAAACTAACAATAACTGTCTGCAATATTAGTCCCCCTTTCAGTAACTGTTTGTAATTAACAACGTTGGCTCTTATTATTTTTAAGTTTATGTTTGAAATTTCATGTTTTCATTGTAAAATAATTGATAAATTAAACCTTTTCAAAACTTTTACGCTATAAATTTTATGTTTTCATTGAAAATAATTATGTTTACCGAAGGAAAACATTGTTTTTGCTCAGTTTCTTCTTCCTCTTCTTCTCCAAACAGTGATTTCTGACCTCAATGACGACCTGAACCAGACTGTCTCTCACCATGGTAACGGGTGTTGGGTTACATCATGTTGCAATTTTATAGCAGGTGGGATTTAGACTCCTGTTAACATCTGTGTCTATAATATCACCAGGATCCATAATATTGCCACCTTGAGAAATAGTGTGCTTAAAGATATTTTTACTGCAACATACTTTTGGTATGCAATCCTTCACACATCAAATGTACATACCTAGGGTATGTTGCAGTAAAAATATCTTTAAGCACACTATTTCTCAAGGTGGTGATATTATGGACCCTGGTGATATTATGGACACAGATGTTATATTACCTCTGTCATGTTGTATCTGTTTTCGTCCAACAGATCGCGCACCGGTTCCGTACTTTGAAACCAGCCTGTGATTGGACAAGCTGGAAACTGCATGCCGCCAACGTCGAATAGCATGTCTCCTTGCATCGGGATACAGTTCACCTTGATGGCCAGCTCTTCAAACCAGTCATGTCTGAATAAAAGAAAGCAAAATTAATAGATGGTACCTTGAATATACTTGTATGAAAAGGAAGGAAGGATAGACCGTAGAAAGGGGAAGGTAGAATTGAAGGAAGGAAGGAAGGAATCAGGAAGAAGGAAGGATGGATGGATGGAAGGATGGAAAGTAGGAAGATAGAAAAGAAGGAAAGAAGGAAGGGGGAGGACAGAAAGTTTTGGAAAAGGAATATATATAGGAAGGAAGGAAAGAAGGAAGGAAGGATGGAGATGGAAAGGGAAATGAAGGAAGAGAGGAAGGAAGGAAAGAAGGTAGAAATGAAGGAATGGAGGGAGAAAGGAAGGATGGTAGGAATGAAGGGAGGGAAGGAAGGAAGGAGGAGGTAGAAAAGGGGAGGAAGGAAGGGAGGAAGGAGGGAAGGAAGGAAGGATATAGAAAAGGGAAAGGAAGGAAGATAGGAAGGAAGGAAGGAATGAAGGAAGGCAGGAGGGGAGAAAGGAAGAAAGGAATGATGAAAGGAAGAAATTAAAGGAGGAATGACGGAGGGAAGAAAGGAAGGAAGGAAGGAAGATGCTTGAGCTATGACCCAATTAAATGCAACTGTTTGTGTTACAACAGTTGCAACATGGTGGCAGACAAAGCAATGCCCTCACATTAAAATGCTCTCTACTGTTCCCTTAAGTGATCAACACCTGAAATTTGGTTGTCACTATTTCTTACTTTGGATGTCTGAGCTCCAGTTCCAGTGGCACGTCTTCAGGCCAGTCAAACACCACTGGGTCTTCTCCATTAGCAGAGACAATGGCCGGCAGAAAATCGTATGGAGTTCCTTTTCCCTTCCATCCTAGACTCTGGCAGACCTTAAAGAAACAGTTGATTATAATGCAGTTTGGTGTGTCCGTGGTGCACGTCGTTTTCTTTTCTTAGTACGTAATTTTTTTTAAGCAGAACTAATGGGTGCAAGTATAGATTTGATTTCATGTAATTAAATCATAATTATACTGATACTGACACAACATCCCACGCACGTTAAAGAACCCACCATACTTATCGAAAAGAGTAGGGGACCTTCCCAGTGTGAGTGGTTAAAACCTTACAGTCTGATCTCAGGTTTGACATCTTGAAGAGGTGATAGTCACCTGTTATGTCAATCCTTCCACAAATGTGGTAAATCTTCATTAAAAAAACAACAACTATCACTTCCTCAAAGCTTGCAGGGAGACCATTTTGACCTCCAATTTGACCTTACATGTCATCAGTCTGTGGTTACAACATTCCCCCTCCCTCATTCCCTCACATTTTTTTCATAGCCCAAGATTTTCCATATTTGGTTAATATTGAAATGCTTCTTTTTCAAAATGGTGGACAAAATCTATCAAAGATTTGGAAAATAAAGTTGACTTCAAGTTGAAGTCATACAATACAAACGTACTTCCCATAAAACAGGTTGGGACAGTTCATCCTCACTTTGGGACAGTTGAAATTTATTTTTGGGACAGTGCAAAGGGACTGTGTGTGTTGAACAGAAAGAATTAAGACTTAAGAATTAAGACTTAAGAATTAAGACTTAAGAATCTTTGTTAAATTTTATTTTATGACCTCTGACCTCTCGGTACTACTTGCATGTTGTGTGTGGTTATGTAGTGTGTAGTTAAGCCTTACCATGTTGTGATGATAGTAGTTTGTAGTCAACGACTCCAGGAAGAATAGTATGTATGGCAACTGTACAAACTAATGGAGATCGGTCTAATAAACAAACAAACAAACAATTCGAGGCCTGCCATACCTTGGTGAGTTCCAAGCTGCCAGGATCTCCGATAACAGAACCGTCGGGCTGTTCGTACCCGGCGTACTGGAACAGAAGCTTGTTCCAGAACTTCCAGTCGTGTTTCCCGTCTGTTCGCATGGGGAAAATACTGATGGCAGTCCTAGGACATAGTGAAATGATGAAATGGAAAAAAAATAACTGATATGTTTTCAGATAACCACACTCATGTAACATGTAACTCAAATTTGAGTTACTCTGGAAGTCTACCATGATTGCTTTGGCATTGATGTCAAAGTCTTCAAAATACTACCAAAAAATTAATAAAATCTTTTCTCTGCGTTGATTTGTATTAATGTTGATAGTTATAATTGCATATTCATTCCCAAAAGGGAACCCAACAGGGCATTTGGCTCTGAACCAAGTGGTCCTGGGTTCAAATCTTTCCAAGTCACCGACTTTGTGTCCTTGGGAAAGATACTAAACATGAATTATTTAAATTTTCTCACTTTCTCGGGTGAAAATGAATATGCCAGAATGATCATTATCATGATCATGGACATTATAGGAAAACGAAACCAAGAGAAAAATGCAGCAATTTTAGATAACTAAAAGAAACAACATTAACTACAGCTTACAGGCCTCTTCTCATTTCTTCAAACAATCAAGTACATGTACTTACTTCATCTGTCCATCCTTGGTTGCGTATCTCACGTGATCGCAGACGGCATCAAACATTTCCTTGGCTGTCTTGACATTACGATAGTCGATAACCTGACAACAATATTAAAATGTTACAATTAAAATCCTTCTCATATGTTTCAGTGTTATAAGGCATGGTTTGGGATATAAAAACAAAGCAACTACTAAGGTAACATTTGCAAAGCAAATGCATAATGTTTACCTTCACATATGGTCTGCCCTGTTAATTCTTACTCAAACACATTCATGGTCAGACAGGTGTCTAAATCCTTCCTGCTATAAAATTGCAGCATGATGTAACCTGACACTAGTTACCATGGTAACAGACAATCTGGTTCAGGTCACTGACCTTTTTGGTTTGGAGAAGAAGAATAGGAAACTTAGCAAAAACAACATTGTTTTCCTTCCGTAAACACTATAACTAGACATACTTTGCACATCGTTCTGAATTTTCTGTAGCGTTAGGCCACACCAATTTAATTTCTTGGTTAATGGATTCGCCCGCTTCATTTTTTTTCTCATTTGCAAGAAAAAAATCAGAATCAACTGCAAAATGATCATATTTTGTCCTGAACAGTTGAAAATAGTCCAGTTATTCCATCTTAAAATGCATCACTGCGCATAAAGAAGCATCCAAAAAGCACATACCTGTAAAACCAAAGAGGAGCCAATATGTTCCCTGGGAATCAAGTAGTGTATTGGAAAAGCGTGAAGCTCTTAAGATAGCATCTGAACGAAGAAGAACCAGACCTACGCGGACAAATACCCGAAACTTTTTGAAGGCACAAAAAGATCTAGCAAGCACATACCAGATAGAGCAACAGAAATATATCCAGGAACAAATTGAGAACATAGAAAAGTGCATGGAAAGCAAAAGATCAGCTGCAGCCTGGGAAACAGTAAATGAAGTTAGTGGCCGAAAAAACACAACAAAGTCAAAGCTGAAAGCCTCAAGTCAAAGCGAGAGGTTACACATGTGGAAAGAACACTTTCAAAGTCTTTTGGGAAAACAACCAACCACCACTGATGAGCCAGTTCAACCAATCATATACAAACAACTAAACATAAAATGTGGAGATTTTACTGAAAAAGAACTAACTGATGTACTGGAAAAGATCAAAAACAGAAAGGCAGCTGGTCTAGATGAGATACCTCCTGAGGTATGGAAAACACAGGCTTTCAATGACATACTCCTTGGACTGTGCAATAGTGTTTACAAGAAAAATCAAATTGAAATGTGGACAAAGGGGTGCATTCTTCCCTTCCCAAAGAAAGGTGACCTGAGCAATGCTAGAAATTACAGGGGTATCACCCTAACCCCTATAGCCGCAAAAGTTTACAATGCCATGCTTTTAAATCGTTTAAGACCTGAAGTTGAGAAAATACTTAGGAGAAACCAAAATGGCTTTCGCAAGAACAGATCAACAACGTCCCAGATACTAACTGTTCGCAGGATAGTTGAAGGAGTAAAGTCAAGAAACCTAAAGGCCACTCTTCTATTCGTTGATTTCGCTAAGGCGTTTGATTCGATTGATAGAAGAAAGATGATGCAGATTCTTCTTGCTTATGGTATTCCAACTGAAACAGTGGATGCCATCATGATGTTATACCGGGACACTCAGGTTATTGTAAGATCCCCTGATGGAGACACAGAGCCCTTCAACATTGTAGCTGGAGTCCTTCAAGGGGACACACTTGCACCTTATTTGTTCGTCATGTGTCTGGACTATGTACTACGGACATCTGTCGACCAAATACAAGAAAATGGTTTCATCCTAGAGCACGCAAGATCTCGGCGATACCCAGCAAGGCATCTCACCGATGCAGATTTTGCTGATGACCTTGCACTTTTCAGCAACACAATCCAGCAAGCTGAAATTCTTTTACACTGCCTAGAAAAAGCAGCAAGGGGTATTGGTCTATATGTCAATGCTGGCAAAACAGAGTTTGTGACATTCAACCAACACGGAAACATCGCTTCTCTCGATGGAAATAGCATTAAACAGGTTGAGAAATTCACATACTTAGGTAGTGACATTTCATCAACTGAAAATGATGTGAGTGCTCGTATTGGAAAAGCCTGGGCGGCAACTGACAAGCTATCAGTGATCTGGAAATCCCCCCTGCCAAATAAGCTGAAACGTGAATTCTTCCAAGC